CCAAAGGTCAAGAGATAACGTCTGCATCTTCATCCTTCAAACTGGGTATTGGAGATATTACAAAATTAATTTATACTCGCCAATACGCTATAATACTAAGTATTATAGTAATTTTATCTGTACATATAAAAAAACCTTTTGGTCGGTTTAGCCTCGTATTGTAAGATATATCTTGAAATAAATTTACACAAAATTAAAAAGAATATCTGTTTAAAGGAATGCGTTGTATCTCACTTTAGGGATATCGTAATCATAATTATTAATATTTGGATTCTGAAGTAGAGTAAGTCATTATATCTGTATACACACTCAATAACCAATGTTTACATTTAAATGGAACATAGTTTGGTGATACCTCTGAGAGCCAACGTCATAATTCTTTATTAGTTTCTGATACAGCGAGAATTGATGTGACGTGATAATGTGCCACAGCTTACAATAAGTGGTCCTTTCAATTTGACTCGGTAAAAAATTGGTGTGATCTATAAAAATCAGTAATTGAAAATGGTACACTCTGATTTATTTTACTACGTTCATTTGCCCCTGCCTAAAACTGCCTACAGCGTTATCACGGAAATTAGACATACACTTCTCCCTCTATAAAATATTATTTGTTCAAGGGCATTACAGTATGGGGTGCGAGCTTGTTTAGTGGTTAGAGTGCGGGACACCGGTCCCCGAGTTCCCGGGTTCAAATCCTGCCAAACCGCCAATGGGTTTTATCTAATAGATATTGCCGCAACCCTAGGTCTAGCCTGAAGTAATGTGAAAAACAATCCCGGGATCGTGCCTAGCGTCCTAGGACGAAAAAAGAAAGAAGGTCATTACAGTAGGCTACATACAAGTACTTCATTCAAAGTTGAATGTTGGCTCTATTTTTGTTTACCTACTTATTGCAATCCAAACTTACTTTTGCTGATGATTTCCCCTTAGGTCCCGTTCGAGAACAGTACATGATTATTTTTTGTACATTCTCTAGTTTTTTACCACATCGTCAGAATCCTCGAGTGTTTCAAAATAAAATGAAACACCTAAGTAATTTAATTTAAGCGTTCAACCCGCCCAAATACATCTGTTCAGTTACGTAGAAGTGGCGTGTCGAGTGAAACACTAGGCGTACATGAACAGCCGCGGAAACTGCCGACGTTCGTGACAAGAGTTATCTATACAAGGCTGGCTGAGATGAAGAAATTGTCCAACATTTAGTGGCAATTGCTTCCGAGTTAAACACCGTTGAACAAGTAGTGTATCCTCCGAAAAGTTAGAGCCCACTGAATGGTTCCATACACATATTTCATAGATATGAAAATAAGTCAAATGTATGAAATTATTCTACATCATGGTTAAATTAATGAATTCAACTCATGTTTGGCAATTTGAATGCATAAAACCTAAGAGAGTTGGATGATTGTGTGCCATTTAACTATACCGAGCACTATGGCATACTAAATGTCAGTTTACCAGCTACTTTGTTGTGATTGGAAACGAAATTGAGCGACAAAGAACTATTTTCCCTGCGCACATAATGGAAATTCCCAGTCGACTTCCTGCTTGATGTATTAGAAGCGACGTACGGTATCGGAAATGGTTGTTTCCACTCGATTGATCGCTCAACTTTGCCGAACTGCACATAAGGGTTTGACAGCGACGGAAAAGTTCGATGGATGGACAAACAGTATGGAAAATATAAGTAGCTCTGGAACTTTAGATAGGTTTTGAGACATTGTCCAGCCACATGAGCTAATCACTCTAAGTAACTCTCAGTTAACTATAATATAACTAGAATACTTGTTATTCTGTAACATATTAATTCAAACCATTGTTCATTTATTTTGTTGTTTGTAAACAGTTGTTGATAACATTTTCTCCCAATACAATTACCAATAATGTGTACTTCACTACAGCAGTTTGATGGTAGTGTTTTAAAGAAATTGCGGGTTTTATTGTTTTATATGAAATAGTTTGAACACATTGAGAATTAGTTTTTCTCCATTGTGTTATTTATTGGTATACCTATTTTTATGCTTTGCTGTAATGACCAATATATCGTGTGAATTTTTTCTCATGATCCTAAAAATTATTAACTTTTAGAACGCAGTAGTTCAGCTACGGCAGAGTTATTTATCTTTACAATCTCCACCAAAGACTATAACCGAAGTTCCGAATCACAAAACCATCCCGACCTTGTGACCACCCTTGATTATTTTCGCGCGGAACGCAGACAAGAGATTCGCACGTATTTTTAGAGAGCTCTCGCGCGTTTATGACCCGCCTCAAAATAAAACCGCGGCAAGCGTCGGTTATAAATTAGCTGGTAATGTGACAGCTACAAACAAACAACACTGGCTTCCTCGTCCGAAACGAAATTTGGATTTTTTGGAGACGAAATGAGTTTTTCCAAACATTTCTCCCTACTGATTCACATTATGTAATTTTTATCTCATAGCCTACCTCATATTGTCTTCTGGCTTGGTTACATTTCTGTTGTATATTTGTAAATAGCGTACAATAAACAAAATATTTGCTATAAAACTTTCATTTGAATACCGTATTCGACTATAGGTGAAGTACACACTATACAGGTTTGCTCGATAATTTTTTTTATCCTAATAAACCCAAAGTAAATTACGATGTAATTTGAATATAATTGTATTTAATATTAATGAATGTCCAGTAGTAGAACAATGAATTCTGGTTTAAGTTCTTCATAAACTAATTTTTTCGTTTTTTTTTTATTTGTATAGTATTGGAACAAAAAAGTCATGTAATTAAAAAAATAGATAGACCTACCAAATATTTTTCCTACAGTCACCTGACAAAGTGTGCTTCCTTGCACTGATTATAGTACAGAAAGTTGCTAATTGATGCATTTACTTACTTTTGCCGCATTCCAACCAAACAACGCAAAACATGGTGCTTTTATTAGGCACGTAATCCGTGTTCGTGTACGCTTGAAAATAAGTTGGCAACACTTAAAAATATTACGACTACGATCAGCTGGTGCAGTGTTTCCCCATTTCTTTCAACGCTTGGATTTAACCTACCCTTAACACGTTAACATCTTCTTTGATTACTTTATTACTTTACTAATACAGCGATGTTCTCTGTGTCAGCATTTAATTGTAAATTTAAGTGCATTGAGTGGATGATCACAATTTGAGAAAATTTGGTACTGACAAAGATCAGCTGATTCTTAAACCAAAGCCTCAACAATTCTATGACCAAGGACAGCTGGCATCCAGTTTAGAATCAACGAAAGACATTGTCAAATTGTGGATATTTATAGGGATGCACTGTGGATTCGATGCTCCCTGGTGTGGATTAACGTCCGCACTAGTGAGTACTACGACTATCCGCAGTACTATCCTGATAATTAGACCAATTCGTAAATTACAAGGAAAAAAATGTGGTTCGGATTCCACCATAAACTGTAGGTCCCTTAGTTGCCATTAGCTGTATGGGCTATTAATTAACAGCTGTGTCTAAGGAACATGTCGGCCTTAGTCACTAACAAGACTACAAGATCGCGCCACTCATCCTACACTCATCCTTTACTCATATTTGGGTTAAAATACGCACATAGTGGCGTCCCCATCTTAAATAATTGATAATTGATAATTGATAATTCACGTTTTAACAACTAAAATTAACTAAACCTCAGCCATGACCTTATAATACACCATATAAAGCACCAAAGTATAATCAACTTAGATCATTGAAACGATCGCAACGTGTGCTGTCTACAAATACAATTAGTCTTATGTAAAAAGTGTTTAATAATCAACAAGCAATTAGTAAATAGATTAATCCAATTAGCATAAGGGTGTTGTTCGTGTTGTGGATGCACGGAACACGCAGAACACGCTACACGTCGTTGTAATTAATGTTGATATTGCACAAACCTGAATTTTAACATTTCATACAGCTCTGCCACCAGATTAAATAATATAAGAACTCTTGTTTAATTTCACACTTTGCACTAGGAATGTGCCGTGTCATACTCAACTTTTTATGACGGCTTGGCAAAGTATTTGTAGATGCATTTATTTTTACACAAAATGATGAAACACTTATTCTACTTGCTACGTCAATTCAATTGTTATCCTGACTATTTACATTATAGTTCACTAAGACAGCACAAAGCCATGATTTTAATTGATATGATGGAATTGTCACTATAATAATATTGGTACACAAAATAAAATAAAAAAATTGATTGATTAAAATAAAAATCTGTTGGAATGTGAGATGGTTCACTTCTTATATTAAATCAGCGTAAAACAATTATGTTAGAAGATTCAAAGAATATATTCATTATAATGTCTCCTGTCTGTTAGAACAACTACATATTCACAATCCTAAACTGTCTTTATTAATTTACGTGAAAAGATGTAAATTTAAATATACGATGCACTTATGATTCACTTATTTTTCCTACGGTTCACTCACCAAACTCATTGTTAAAATATGAAATTGAATTATTTCAAAACTTAATCACTTATAAATCTAGAAGTTTCCTATTTTCAAGAGTGATTAGGAATAATTTATCTATTTCGATTCACAACTAATAACAATCGTGTAAATAATTATGATAAATTAATGTGCTTGTGATGATATATGATTAATGATATCAAGTAAAAACCGCTCTTATACTAGCTTGACTGTAGAGTATTGTGATTCGTAGAGGAATGTTTATTTGTCTATAAAGAATTTTAGCTATCTATTCATTACCTCGTAATTTTAAGTCTTATTTTACTTATAATTAAATATTGTAAATTAATTGGAATTAATAAAGCTTTCTTACTAATATGTTCATATAATAACATTCCTTCCAATCTTTGAAATAGAACCAATTTGGAAAAGTGTAGGTAATGAATGAAAATGTAATCTTACTCCAATCCTGGACATACTCTCGCTGTAATTTATAAGTTTAGAGGCCTTTCAGAAAGTGTAACAATTATTTTATTCTTTTCACTTATATTTTATGTTCTTTTTTTCAGCCAGGAAGAGTGGCGACACTGGTGGAGGAAAAAGAGGTGAGTAAATTCAGGATGCAGCACAAAGATTAAATCACTAATTTTATAAATCCTTCTTCCACTTACGCAAGTAATAATGCTCTACTGAACACCAGTAGTATATACAGGGTTAGGCTAAAGTCTGGAACCCCCCCAGTTAACTCTTTTTTGCGTCGCAGTAGGAAAACCAAACGCGGCACATATTTACAACATAAGAAATTGCACTTTTTCATCAAAGTTACAACTTTGCCCCAGCTCCCAAAATTGGGTATTTTGGGGGCAGCCCCAAATTTTCAAAAGTAAACACCTATCATGTGACCCCTCATTTTAAAGGGTTTCTCAAGACAAAATAAATGGCACAAACTAGAGGTCAATATCGCACAACTAATCAAAATGGCAGTCATTTTAAAATATCCCCTATTAACTTTTTAACAGGTTATAGCAGGAAAACTAAACTCAGCATTCCTTTATAAAAAAAGAGAACTCACCTTTTGGTAAGTATTAAAATATTAAATTTTTAAAGTTAACTGGGGTTGTCCAGACTTTATCTTGCTTGCTCATCTTAAATAATCAAAATGGCTGCCATTTCCATTAGGGGTGTGATATTGACCTCTGGTTTGCGCCATTCAATTTCTCTTGACAAACCTTTCAAAACCCTTTGATAAAATATCACGTTATAAATGGTAAACACTAAGATAAATTCTCCATAAATTGGGTAAAAACATGTTAAAAACTGTCAAGTAATTCATGATGAAATATCTATATGGGAGTGTGTGAAATTTACGTTTGTAAATTGTAACTAACTTGCTCCCTGTTAACACTAAGTATTTTAGTTCACGAAGTAACATCAAGCAACTGGAAATTAAACCTGAAACATAGTTTGTGTTGATAACCCTTTACAAATCTTCTAATTACGGGTTCCTCTTTAGGTAGTACTTCCAAACATTATGTGTTAACGTATTTTGTTATGTTATCAAACTGAAAGCCCACATGAAACTTGTGGCACCAGACTAATAAAGACTTGGCCAGAGTTGGGGCGAGTTGTGAGTGTGAAGATTGCATGATCGGTCCTCTTATCAAGATGTCAGGCGCGATCAAATGATCAACCGTGTGATACAACCGACGATCTTACATCCTGCTTGCGCAGTTTGTACCGCAGCATGAGATAAATAACTATAGGACACTCATTGAAATTACACTTCGTGTTCACTTACATATATTTTGATAAACCTTGAAGCTTAAACCATTGGCTTAATAGTTAAGCTGGGAGGGTTGTAGTTCCATGACTAAACGGGAGGGCTGGAACTGCACTCACGGTCACTTTGAGCCTTTCTGGGGGTACCGGAACTGCACTCACGGTCAGTTTGAGCCTTTCTGGGGGTACCGGAACTGCACTCACGGTCACTTTGAGCCTTTCTGGGGGTACCGGAACTGCACTCACGGTCAGTTTGAGCCTTTCTGGGGGTACCGGAACTGCACTCACGGTCAGTTTTTAATTAGCCTATATCACATTGTGCAACACCATGATTGAATTGATTAAAACTTATTAAATTAGTTTGAAATATATTGAAAAGTTTTGATTAAATTAATCTAAACGTCAAAAAATAAACTTACAACTGACATTGTAAAAAATACACATATATATGTGCACAGAAAATTCTAGCATAGTATTTACGATAACATGATAGGCTATATTCTTATTATAACGAAGCTTCTTTTGTAAAGGTTAGGCTAGGTTAGGTTAGGTTAGGTTCGGTTAGGTTAGGTTAGGTTAGGTTATGTATTGTTGTATTTATTGGGACAGACACTAAAACGTGTATTAAATAAAGTATTGGATAAAGTAAGACAGAGGACGGAATAAAGAGATGACTAAGGGGCTAGCGTTCAGCCAGACCGATTTTTGACCGTGAGTGCAGTTCCATATGGCTTAGGAGGGCTACCCTTCCAACCCTTGTAAATTCCTTTGACCGTGAGTGCAGTTCGTTGTCAGCCGACTAAACTGCCTGATCTGTCTAGTGTCAGTGAAAATTACTTTTTTTTGCCATGCCGTTTATCAATTGAAAAATTGTGATATTAATTTTTTACTGCTAGACTCAATACGGAAGATATAACATGACAAACCATGCATCAGATACCGTTGGTTTATACTGAGCTCTAAATAATCTAACAAACATGCATTCATCCGAACAATAAGTAGCCCTTATTTCTCTAGGTACAACTTCAACTTCAACGCATGTTATTTACCAATCACGAGTTTTTCTATTTTTAGAAAAGAATACTCAATGTCAATAACTTCCTGTGATATCAAAAGTGAAGTATATCGCTTAATTGTGTCAAAACATTGCAATACACACTTTCCCGGTGTGAAGTCTATTCAGCTTTGTCCTCCGAGTGTGTGGCACTATCTATCGGGCTAATTTTGCACACACGTGTCTCGCAGAGTGTTCGTGTATGTTAAATCTCGAGTGGTAATCATCGATCATGTTAAGCCTTCTCTCGACCTGTGTTGACAAGCAGATATACAATGACATCGATTGTGAATACTGGTTTGATCTGCTTTATATTGATCGATCAGGCGTTTGAAATATTTAAAGAGAAATGCTCATATTAAAAGTATTTCAGATATGGGAAAACATGAGTATTTCTTTATAGAAATGAATTGTCAATGGATTAATAAAAAAGAAACAAGGTATCTTTCACACCGTTTTGAATCCATCCTTTTATTCCTGACTTCGTATTACTGACGCTGGGGATAAATTTAAATATATTTACCAAACTACAAAAACATCTATCGTCATTGTTGCAATCTGATATCGTTGAAACAATAGTTTGTATGTAATTTATACTATTTTAGTTATCAATTTTTAGTGTTCGAAAAAAAATTGTTTTAAGGAATTAGTCTAATATGTTTGAAACTGTAAAGTGAAGTAAACAATAATCTTCCAGTTGTTCAACGATAAATACAACTGAAAAACATACAAAGTAAACAATACAAGAAGTTATTCATTGCAACTGTTGCGGTCAACAGTATTGTTTAACATTAAACTTATTAATTCAACCAAACACTTGATTACATTTTCGATTAGTCTTACGCTGTATTTAATAGTTTCCAAATATGTATAAGAATGTTTTGTGTCGTTCACTAGTAAAAAATAACCATCGAAACCGATATATTTTGATTCAATAATCCAATCAATGCAAGTCTAATTGATTCGTCCACACAACGTCTACACGATATCACAGAAAACATACTACTATACTGTATGTTTTCTGTGACGATATCTATAATTTGTTTTCTTATCATCATATTTGCCATTTTCTCTATTCTTGTTTCCGTTCTTTTACATTTCATCCGTCCATCTCTATCGCATGATTTGCTGGTATTCGCAATGTTGTGGCACATCGTTGAGAAAGCCACCACAGCCGTCCTTGCTTTCATACGTAGTAATTTGTATTTCGAAATCATGCATTCGTTTTACGTAAACGCTCACATCTGTCTAGATCCTTTGATTATTTTGTGGTCTGTAGGAAAATTTGGCTCAACTGGTTGATTTTCCCATAATTCTGCCAAGCTACAGTTCCATCATTAACTGGCTACTGCTGCTCGATACAATGGACCATCATTCCAAAATGTATTGTAAATACTATTTAGACAGTTATTAAAATTTCTTAGATAAATCGTTAAAAAGGATGTATAGTTGAAATGTACTTGAAATTATTTCTGAAATGTTATAAGTATTGCGAAACTGGGTTAAAATGTTGTCGCTACATAGATAGTTGTATTGTCAACTGTATTCCAAGGCTGATCTTGTTCAGTAGGCGGTCATCTACATAACATGGGGCTCAACCTTGCACAGTATAACACAGTCACCAGTATTGTATAATCTTACTGCTCTATGTACTCAGGCTTCAAACATACATAAAATTAACTAAACAATGTCTTATCGAGATAAAGCTTAATGCTACCTCATATAATAGGTAGGTAACAGTTACTTGCTTGATACTTAGGTTGTTTAATTTGTGAGCTTTTTGGAATATTAGACTTGATACAATACACGACGCTAACACGTCAAGTTGCATATTTAGGGCGAAGATGAATGTTCAATATTGATATGACAGCGGTGCAACTCCTTATCAAGATCAGCTGATTGCAGAACCATTTACTGAAAGTCCAGCAGCTTCAAAATAACTAGGTTCAGATTCGAACCACTGTTAATTATCTGACTTTTCTCATTATCAAACTGGTGAGCTTAACGGGCGAACGCTATTTCTGCTTGGCAAGCCAGCTATTCTAGAACACTGGTCAGAAAGTGAAGATAAAACATGATGTGACATGTTCGATGGATTTTATAACCGCTCGTGCATTCAATGTAGCGTGAACAAGTTCGAGGGATGTGTAGTGTTAAGTGTACTCGAGTGTAAGCTTTTACAGCGACTGGCTGGCGGATAAGTTCTGTAAAGGCTTACTGAGTGGAAAATTCACATAACATTGAACAATCCTATACATTTTCTCTGATACATTTTAAGGTAGAGAGCTGTGTATAGTGTACAGCAATATTTCTAAAATGCATTAAATTGCCCTAGTGTTTGTATCTTATTGGGGTTTTAGCACAATTCTAAACAAGGTGGTTTGACTTAAAGCAGCAGTAAATACAACGCATTTATAAACATATCCGGATGCTTTTCCTTACTTTACAACAGAAAGTAAGTCATCAATTGAAGGAGGTTGCAAAATAGGAATTAGTTGTAGGGACCAATTGAGGAAGTTGTTTTGAGGATGTAATATTTAAGTTATTATCTTTCATCACGATTCTATTTTGAAAAGTTTTTTTTAAGTAGGTAGCAGTGAAATCGTGTGTTTACATAATAAGCGACTGGTTGTCTTTCTACATTTTCCGCAAAGAAATCAAGACACCGACAGCGGAAGCTGACAAAGGAGGAATAAGATCTTTAGTGACCAAGGGATGGGAGTTAGAGGGGTTCACAAGTCAGGGGTCATGGAGCACCTGCGTCTCGAGGGG